ATCAGGGGAAGTAAAGCTCACCTTCAGGAAACCCATAGGGATAATTTTATACTTTGATGGATCACGTTATATAGCACAGAACACTTGTATTTTATCTAAAAGAAACAGAGCTGATAAAAAGCTTATAAAAAACTTCTTATGCATCACGACGGCATGATTTCAAGCTCTGAGCAGCGTGTGTGCGCAGCAACCTTTTGCCAGTTGTCTCTACCATCCAGTTGCTGAGAAAGGAAACTCTCACACCAGTAAGTGACAGTGAGTCGTTGGTATAATTTGTAGGTAGCTAATGGAACCGATAGCCAGAGCCGAAGAAATGCAAATACGGTCTTGTTTCCATGGCAAGTCCGTTAAGACTTGCCGATTGCAGGAAGGCTCTGGGATCTTAGGTTAAGAAAGATCTTTTCTGGCACCTTAGTTTTAAAGCTTTATTTTCCTGGCTTTCAATAGGCTGATATTATTATTATTATTAATAATATTTGTTTGCGTCAACCAAATGAGCAAAACGCTTGCTACACTACTCGGTGATTGCACCATAGTGTCACCCATGCCAAGTATAATTACTAATCCTTGTTCTGTTAGTCTCACTGAAGCACTTCATCTAAGGACCTTAACATATAATAAGACATTTAAGACACCCGCAGTAGATAGGTGTTTAAGTAACAAATGCATACAGTGCTGGATTTCAGTTGAATATCTTCTGTCCCCGATGTTACATAAGATCCTGCAATTCTTAATCAAGGTCAATTCTCCTTGGGCTGTGATGGGTTCATTAAAAGAAGATAAATATTCTCTTACAGAGATACAAAACTCTTGTAAAAAAAACAACTAAAAACACCAATTATGGAGCCTCAGGTTGGGCTGGGCTTTAGCAAAGCACAAAACTTTCTTTCAGCCAACTTCTGAAGTTTGTCAGTTCATCTTCAGCTCCTTCAATTAGCTAAGATACACCGTAAATCTCATATTATTTAATAAGCACAATGTTGTGCACATTTCACTTAAATATACAAATACACATCTGGTTTTAGCTTGAGAAAAGTGTCCCAAAGTTCAGGTCTATTCAAGCAGAAGGAGAGAAAAATGTTGTGGGAAAACTCCAAAAAATGCTGCAGGATCACATCCGACCTTTGGGTAGAATAAATTTCACAAAGCTGCATTGGCTGTGAATGAAATTTTACAATTTACCTGCTTTATTAGGATCTTGATATGTCAAGGTTTGCTATTTTGTAGAGGATTGGTAGCTACGGAGGATGGGGTTTTTAGTAGTTCAAATTACAAGAACTTATCCCCTTGATTCTTGCAGGCATCACCCCTGTTTTAAAGCATAATGCTTCTGAAACTATGAGGGCTAGGAACGTGACCTTCACTGGATAACCTGAGACTGCACAGGCCACGAAAAATAAGCAGAATACATCTATAACAAGAAGAAGCAAGAGATGCCCTGAAAGTGAAATTCTAGTCCTAGGGCACATAGCTACACCTAGGTACCCGACTTGAACATCTTAAATCAAGAATGGAAAAGAAGAATTCTGGTCAATCTTCCAGGAGGGGTGAATTTGACTTACTTTCAGCAGACTTGAAGTAAAGGTTCTGCGCCGTGCGTCAGATGGTGAAGAAGCTAGTTCATTTTTATCACAGTAGGCCGTGCGAATAAGTTGTGTCTCCTGAGAAATCTGTAAGGAAATAAAATGTCTGTTAAAAATAAAATTTTTAATTTTATTAAAAATAAAATATCTGGAGTCAGGGATAAGTATTGGTACAGAAAGAAAAACAGAATTTTCCTACAACATCAATTCCTACACCTGATTGACTTTGTGGAGAAACCTCTGGGGAGTTTCAGGACTAAATCAATCTTTAACGACAATATTATCATTCCTCACTGCTTTTACATATAGAGAGATCACTTTATTAGAATTTTAAAAAGAAAGATGAAAACTTAACAAGAACTAATAGTTAGAATCAAGAGAGAAGAAAAAGGAAAGAAAGAACAAGCTAAAAGTTGCAGAAAAGAAAGAAAAAAGTATAAAGAAATGACTTCCGATTTTCTTTTACAACAGTGATAATAAGTATAAATTTAAATTAACCTCTTACTCTATGGTTACAGCCCTGCTTACATTTTTACTATCAATTTTTTTCCTAATTGTCAAAACTATACATCATAATTTCATTTTTTTTCTGTTTTATGCAAAAAGTCAAGGGGTTTCCAATCAGCATTAAACTTAGATATTGTCTTTTCTCTGATCAAAGAAGTCAATCTGGCCATCTCAGCGAGTTCCATTACCTTCACCACCCATCCCTCCATTGTGGGTAAAGTCAAATCTTTCCACCTTTGTGCATATAATAATTTATCATTCCTCTCTGCTGATGATGGATAAAGCACATACAGGGTGTACCAAAAGTCAGGCCCCAGAGGCCCATCATAATATATTTTTATTAATTTTTTTTCAGAGAAAATGTTACTGTACCTAGGAATGTTCAAAGGTCATGTGTCAAACAAGTAAGAAAGTGTTTAGAAGAAAAGGGTAACCAATTTGAACATTTAATGCAATTTATATAATAAATTGTCTATGGAGCCTGACTTGGCAACTTCCAGATGTTTGGACTTCAACTCCCAGAATTCTCAGCACTGATCACAATAGCTGGAGATTTAAACATTTAAAAAAACTTATTATGCTCACCTAATGAACAAAAGATCAATACAACCACCTACAACAGGATTAAAAGATCGACACAACCTCAGAATTAATAAGCACAAGAATAAGGAAGGGAACCCCCCCCCCCAATATCTAGAAATATAAATTAAACTCCAGAAACGTTGACCATATAGCTCAATAGTTTTGTTCCTTGTACATTTGTTGAAAAAAGACAAAGTCATTTTGCTTTCTACTGAACAGATGCATCTTAACCCATCTCGGGACCAAATCTGCTTCACTGATCGCGGTGAAAAAAGATCCTTGCTGCCAAAAGCAATCTACCCAGACAAGAAACTGGAGGAATGGTTGGGGACAATCATGACTACAACAGATCCTGATGAAAAATACTGATGCTAATTGTGGCTTAGACCTAATTCCACCTTTTCAGAAGATCACAGGCAGCCCTGGCTTCTGAAGATCATCCCTTACTCTAGATAACACAGAACTCAAGGGAGAAGACTTGACTTAGAGGTCGCTTACTGAGTCAATTCTGAAATAACCTGCAAAAATATCCCACAGCCTAACTGCACACATCGCAGATGTGGGAAAGGAAAGAAAAATGGCTAAATGTACTGGATGAAGAAAAGCCCACCCCACTTCTGGAAGCAATGCTTCCACAGGTCAGGCAAAGCCTAGTGTTGACCGAAGCCAACAAAGGTTGAGCACTCCTGGTGACGTGGATGGATTTTTGGAAGCAAAATGGTCCTCCTGGGCCCTAGAGCAGAAGCTATGACGGTCGGGGGAGGAAGAATACTGTAAAGACAAATCCAGGTCCCTGATTATATCCCCAGGTAGCTCAGTCCTCCCATCTGAAAGAGAGGGCTCCCCTCCTCACCCCCGTTCTGAAGAACGTTGCATTTATCTCTGTTGAATTTCACTCTCTTCTTCTCCGCCGTCTTCCACGGCATTAGCTATTCTGTCCATTTCATCAGCATTCTTCGGTGCCTTGTGCTACTGCCGTGATCAGCAAAACCAAAATAAATAACACAGTAATTCCGTTTGCATTTTATTGCAAGGATGAGCACAAAAGGTCTGAGGACAGTCGCATTAAGGAGAAAAGCACCCACGTTGTCTCTTCTCTTTGAGGCCCATCTTGAAAGAAAAAGGCCTGTCTGCACGGGGTGTTCAGGGAGGCAGCACTGGCAGTGCGCTGATAAACGAATGCACTGGCAGCATCGAAGGACGCTGTATAATGTTCACATGCTGAGACTTTCTTCAGTCATCGCTAGCTATTCGTATGAATATATTTATATACATTCCCATGGAAGGCTCAGCACATCATCAAGTGGAATTACTGCTCCCGTTAAGAACTTCCATTGCTAAAAATAATTAATATTGAGAACTGCTATTTATGTTCATAGGAAAAGGAATATAACGTCACGTGCTGTGAAAAGCAAAGCAGATAAAAAGCTTTCTATTTTTTTTTTTTT